CGTCCAGAGTCTAGTGTTAGGGAGTTTTGGTATATGCGGCCTCCTTCTTTCTCCGGTGCTGAAGGACCTTTAGCAGCAGGAGAGTTCCTCAAGGTCATGGAGACTATCCTTACGGTGACTCGTATTCCCCTAGCAGAGTAGGTAGATCTCATGCATATTCCACTCACCTACACCGCACGGATTTGGTGGACTATAGAGAAGACTCATTTGGAGAGACCGATTTCGTGGGATACCTTCACAGACCGCTACAACAGGAAGTACTTCCCTCAGTCGGCTCGGGACGAGTTTTTGCGTAAGTTTGTTGAACTCAAGCAAGGAGGTCGATCCGTTGATGAGTACGAGGCCGAGTTTTCTTCCCTGAGTCGATACGCTCCTCATCTTGTTACAGACCCCACTATCAGGAGGCATCAGTTCCATAAGGGTCTGGACAAGTATATTAGATTGGCTCTAGCTAGTAGAGCACTTGCGACACACGATGCAGTATTAGATGCATCACGTGAGATTGAGAGCGTGCAGAAGGAACCTGAAGACCCACATGTGATTCGGAACAGGGCACTAGTAGTTCCAGAAAGGAATGTCAAGCGTCCTCCTCAGAGGTAGCACTAGAATCCGCAAAGGTGGCAACATTCTCAGCGTCAGCCATTTCATCAGGCTCATCTTTATCAGCGTCCTGGAGTACAGTTTCAGAACCAGTCGTTGGTGCAGTGTTCCTATTGTGGCTACCCTGGGCATACCCAGCAGGAGTGCCCCAGGCGTCTTCGTCTATGCTACAACTGTGGGTACCCCGATAATGTCAACCGGGAATGTCCGTAGCGGCAGCAGGCCAGCTTGCCCCTACCTCCAGTTCGAGCAGCTCTTCCAGCTCCACCTCGATCAGACTCAGCAGCTCCACCTCAGCTCGGACCCTACCCTCGAGCAGGCCCTCTTCCTCCACAACAGCAAATTTATCAAGAAGCACGAAGGCAGCAACCACCGCGTCAGACATTCATGATGACGGCCGTGGAAGCTAAGGAGAATAGTTCATTCCTAGTTTTATTTGCATTATATTTTCCTTATTAGTATTGCCCAATGATATTATGATAGGATTTTATTTATGAGTGCTAGTTTAGATGTATTTTCCTCCTCCTGTAATAGGCAATGCTCTTGTTTCTTTCGTCCTTCCTTTATCACCCTTTCACTCTGGGGCTTCCCATTATTTCTTGTCTCGTCGATTTGCGAGTACCCACTCTCATTCTATATCTCTGTCCTTGGGTTTAATTCCGAGGACGGAATTTATTTTAAGGGGGGTAGAATGTAATGTCCGTGAATTTTGATACTAGTTAAATAATATTCTGGTATTTTAAATATTTAATTATTATTTTTTTAAAAAGTGTATTTGTATTTTCTCGATTTTCTAGAATTTTCTATGATTTAAAAATCTAAATTTTATTTTTTACTTAAATAATTTTAATATTTATAAATTACTTTAGTGCAGTAAAAATTTCTAGAATTCATCCGTTGTGTTAACGATACTATTACATATCATTTTGAATAACACGTTGTATTATTTTTACTATTACGTATTATTTCTTATAATACGTTGTATTATTATTACGTATTACTTTGTACAATTAGTTGTATTATTTTTATTATTACGATCAGCTACCGTATTAATACAACTGGTATATTTTATTGTATAGGTAATTTTCTCATAATTATTTGATTTTAAATATAAGTAATTATATTTTTTATTAAATATTCTTGTTTAATTGTATAATTAACTATATTATTTTTACTGTTGCATATTATTAGTTGAATTAGTACAACTTGTACGTTTTAATGTGTAGATAATTTTCATATATTTATTTAAATTTTTCCATAATAATTATTATTATTATTCAAATTTTTAAAACCCTAAATAACCTATATATAAATAACCCTCTCTCTCTTCTTCTCTCTCTTCTTCTCTCTCTTCTTCTCTCTCCTTCACGCCGCCAAAGGAAACCGCCGCCCACGTTCTCCGCCTCCTCAGCCCACGCCCACCACCTCCACCATCTTCTCCACGTCGCCCTATACCCCCG